TCGAATCCACCCCATCCCACCCTCCTCCATCCACTGCCCCCATCTCCTCCACCCTCCCCCGAATCCACCCCATCCCCACCCCTCCTCCATCCATGGCCCGCATCTCCTCCACCCTCCCCCGAATCCACCCCATCCCCACCCCTCCTCCATCCACTGCCCCCATCTCCTCCACCGCTCCCCCAAATCCACCCCATCCCCACCCCTCCTCTATCCACTGCCCCCATCTCCTCGGCCCCTCCCCCGAACCCACCCTGTCCCCACCCCTCCTCCATCCACTGCCCCCATCTCCTCGGCCCCTCCTCCATCCATGGCCCCCATCCTTCCCCCGCCCTTCCCCAGGCCTCAGCAACATCATCGGGGTGATTGTGTACATCTCAGCCAACGCCGGGGACCCGGGCACCAAGCGGGACGACGAGAAGAAAAGCCACTACTCCTACGGCTGGTCCTTCTACTTCGGGGGCCTGTCCTTCATCCTGGCCGAGATGATCGGGGTGCTGGCCGTCAACATCTACATCGAGAAGAACCGGGAGGCCCACTGCAAGAGCCGCACCGAGTTGCTGAAGAACCCCTCGTCCTCCTCCAACGCCATCCTGCGCCTGCCCAGCTACCGCTTCCGCTACCGGCGCCGCTCCCGCTCCAGCTCCCGCTCCACCGAGCCCTCGCAGTCGCGGGACGCCTCGCCTGTGGGCCTCAAGGGCTTCCCCTCCACCGACATCTCCATGTACACCCTCTCGCGGGACCCCTCCAAGGCCAACGTCAGCAGCCTCTACGGGGCCGAGCGGGAGGGGGCCGGCGGGGGCTTCCTGCAGCTCCACAACACCTTCCCCAAGGACCCCGGCGTGACGGTGACGGTTACAGGGCCCGGCGCGGCCGGCGCCACCGGCACCCTTGGCAAGGACGCCTCCTCCAACACCAACACGCTCAATCGGAAGACCACACCCGTGTAGGGGCAGCCGGGCGGGGGGCTGGCGGCGGGGGACCGGGCCGAGGGACGCGGCGGCCGTGGAGAGCCGCGGTGCAAGGCGGGACGGGAGAGCGTTAGGCTAATGAAGGGGCATTCTTAGCAAAGTGTCTTTCGAACCCTGTGTTCCTTCCCTCCTGCGTTCAGTTGTTTGTTCAGTCGTTTGTTCATTTGTTCTCTTTTTAATTTTAACTTTTACTAATTCTTTCTTTCTTCCATTCTAGTGCCAATTTTCTTTCTTTCTTTCTTTCTTTCTTTCTTTCTTTCTTTCTTTCTTTCTTTCTTTCTTTCTTTCAATAGTTTTTTCTAATACTAGTTTTCTTTCTTTCTTTCTTTCTTAGTAATATTATTTAGTATTCTTTCTTTCTTCTTAATACTAATTCTTTCTTTCTTCCATTCTAATGCCAATTTTCTTTCTTTCTTTCTTTCTTTCTTTCTTTCTTTCTTTCTTTCTTTCTTTCTTTCTTTCTCCACCATTACCCTCTTTTCCTTTATATTTCCCCACCAGCGGGAAGCAATCTCCCAGCCGTGCTCTATCCAAGAGGGGGATGGGATGCGGGTCACAGGAGAATGTGGGAAAAGTCCGGATCAGCCTGGGAGTTGGTTGAAATGATTCAAGCGCTGTCCTGAGACCAGGGGCTCTGCAGAGGGGATACTGCCATGTCGCCGTGCTGGGGGTCTCCAGGGGACCATGGGGGTGTCTGTGTTAGAATGGGGGAGGCTTGTAATTGACCAGTGCCAAATTCACAGCTGGGCAAGTTTGTACATGGAGGGGAGGGAATTGGAAAGGGGGGGGGGGTAGTGACCTAGAGATACCCCCTCTCCTTTCCTCCCCAACCCACCAAGGGCTCATGGTTGTGCCAAATCTAAGTGCCAAAGCTTTACCCCCCAAGCGCCCCCTGCTGGCGGGGGTGGTAACACAGTGTGCTGGGTATTTTCAGGGGGAGGGGTGTCTCTCTGTTTTATTGCCCCCGATCTTCTCTCTGCCCCCCCGGCCTTTCCCAGCTCTTAACGGGGGCTCCCAGAGTGGGGGTGGGGGAATTGTCCACCTGGGTTTGGGCTGTGGGTATTCCCTTCCCCCCAGGGCCTATAGGGGGCAGATCGGAGGCATGGCTGGGGCCCCCCTGCCCTGTAGCTATTCCATGTCCCCCAGGGTCCATATGGACAATTCTAATCAGTCTAGATGACACGGTCCCTATTGGGATATAAAATAAGCCATTTTCTCATGCAATATGGACCTACAATAAACAGCCCTGCTAGGCTAGATGGTCCATAATACTAAACAGCCCTCGTCCAGTTATAGAGACCCTACCATAAACAGCTTGACAGGCAATACCCAGCCCCCTGGGGGTGATGGCCTACACAATAAACCAGCCTTCCCAGGCAATAAATAAATACGGACCATAAAAGTGACTTCCCCTCTGAGCAATATGGGCCGTATATGAAAGAGCCCTCCCAAGAAATAGCGACGGCATCGTATCTACTGACCCCCCAGTACGGGACCTTACCTAAGGGACCAAATTTTCCCAGTGCCCCAGCCAAGCAGGACCAAGTATCCTGTTCAAACGGACGTCACACGCGGGAGCAACAGCGGTTCGAAACCTGGCACTGAGATGTGGCTGCAGCTGGGGTGGGGCATGGGTGCTGTTTATACAGCGACCCCTCACCCAGTGCTGAAATGCAGCTGCCTCTGGGGTGGGCTGAGGGGGCTGTTTATACAGGGACTCCTCACCCAATGCGTAGTTGCAGCCTGATGTGGGGCCGCTGTTTATAAAAGGCTCCTTTACCCGGCACTGAGATGCAGCCACCTCTGATGTGGGGCCGCTGTTTACCCAGGGATACTTTACCCAGCACTAAGATGCAGCCACCTCTGGGGTGATGGTGGTGGAGAGCTGTTTTTTAAGCAATCCGGCACCCAAACTGAGAAACGCCGCCCTCTCACGCTTATCCCTCAAGACTAATTTCCCACTCTTGTTTGTTTCCTCTGCAGTGAATTCATCCTGTTTCCGTGGTCTTCCAATCCCACCTCCTCCCTGCCAAAAAATTAGAAACCTCTTTGTAAAACCAACCTCTCCCCCAGCCCCACTCCCTTGCGCGAGAGTATATATATATATATATATATACCTAGAGAGAGACCTATCTATAGCGAATTGGTGTTGAGCTTTTCTTAGGTTTCGGTTCTTATCGGTTCTGTTGATACCGAATTTTGCGCCGTTGGGAGAGGCCATGTTGGGTTGTGTTGCGTTTTTATGGTTTATTGACATGTTTTTGCGCCGTGTGCATGTGTTGTGTGTGTGTGTGGGGGATTTTTTTAGCAGCCTCGGGGTGGGGAGGAGATGCACAGAGAAGGAGAGAGGGAGAAATTCCCTCGCCCGGAGACCAAATTGATTTTGTCTCTGCTTTAACCCCGTTGTGATAGGGTCAAGGGGCCTTTGTGTGCGATTTAGCAATTCCAAGCCCGTCCTTATCGAGTCCGGCTTCCTGGAGATGAATAGCGCTCGGCGCTGTACAAACACAGAGCAAAAAGACAACCTCTTACAATCAGCGCATTGGGCTGCAGACGGCCAGGATGGAAGATAAAACAAAGGATGTGGGAGTTTTCATACCCCTGTAGCCTGCAGTTTAACCTCTCCTTCTCTTTGGTTGGCATCCTCCCCTGTTCCCAACGGGGCGATCTTACCCGAAAGTCCTTCCGGGCGGAGGAACTATCAGAAAATCCTCTCCCAAGCTGTTGTTCTGAGTGTTTTTAGCTCGGGGTTAGTTAGCTATTTAATTAATGAATTAATTTACTTATTTCTCTCTCTTCTCCCCCCCGCTCCTTCCCCCCCTGGTTTCAGTTGTTCATTTCACGGTAATTAGGGGGGAGGATTTGTGTGGGGGAGGAGAAGAGGGGGATCGATTTTGCTTTCCCAGTTTTTGTGCCGTCCAGACGGAAAAAACAAAAACAAAAAGAACTTGAAAACTTTTGTGAAAAAAAAAAGTACAAAAAGGACCAAAAAAAAAAAGTTTAAAAAGTTACAGAAAAGCGACAAAAAAAGAAAAACGTGGAGCAGCCGTGTCAGCCAGTGGGAGTCAGCTGTCTAAAGTGCGTTTCGTATAAAAGGAAAAATATATATATATATAAAAAACAAAGAAAATACTAAAAAAAAAAAAATAACCAACCCCCAACCCAGCTGTTGTGGTCCTGGTGATATAAAGGAAGAATACAACAAACCAGTTCAATGTGAAAAGCTACAACGAAAAAACTCAGCCCAAATGCATGGATTTTTACTGGAGTCGCTCTTTAAAAATAAAGTACTATGGAAAACAGAGGGATGGCGCTTATTTCATTGGTCTAGACCCCAGAGGTTAGTCCTAGTTGTTGCTTGTATCGTTTGGTGTTGACCAAGATTGGGGCACTGGGCGCTGCCCAGACACAGAGTCACCGAGATCGGGGCCCCGTCGGGCCGGGCGCTGCCCGGACACAGAGTTGCTGAGATCGGGGGCGCCAGGCGCTGCCCAGGCCCAGAGTCACCGAGATTGGGGCCCCATCGGGCCGGGTGCTACCCAGACACAGACTCACTGAGACTGGGGCCCTGTCACGCCGGGCGCTGCCCAGCTACATAGAGAAAGTCCATTCAGAGAAGAGGCTTTCAGAAATGGTAGCTGATATATTTAGAACTGATTCTTTAACAAATCATTCAGCCAGGGCACAGAAGCGACCCCTCTAGGGTGGGTTATACAGGGACCCCCTCGCCCAGTGCTGAGATGCGACTCCTCTGGCGTGAGTTATTCCGGGAACCTCTCACCCAGCAGTCCCGGTGCCAGCACTGACTGTGAAAGGAGAGCGCCCCCTGCTGAGCCCCCACCCTGCTCCCCGCAGCCCCCGGTTCGTTCCTGGGGCGTCTGTCCCGGGCTGAACTCCCAGCCCCGGTGAAGCAGCCAACGCAGACGCTCAGCTGGACTCAGCGCTGGGCAGAGACACCGCTTAACTCCTTCTGCCCTGCATCCGGGAATGCCGCACGGTGGGGCACAGGGCAGGAGGGCTGGCTGTGGGGGGGAGCTCCCGGGGGCACTGTGGGGC